AATCACATGAAATTTACTTATTCTTTTGACACATATATTTAATTGATTTCTAAAAATAAATCGAAAAATAAACACCAGGCAGTGGGAGCTTTCACAGTTGTGTCTTTTTTTATTGTAGCTGATTTGGGATTCGATCCAGAACTGTTGAGATGTGATGCTTTTCGTGTCTGCGCTCGATTCCATTGGGCCACGGCTGACTTCAATATTGAACTCGTTCAATTAGCATGAAGTAATAACAGCTCTCCCAACATGGAATATAGAGAAACGTTATGCTCGTTTTGCTAGAGTGAAGAAAAATAGCACTGACCAATATATGCTCCGTTTCAGTGGTGTCGTGTATTCAAATCATTATTAATGCTCCTGTGTGCAATAAAACAACGACTACATTATATGAGTTCATGGAACTGGTTCATGAAGTTCGAGTACTAGTGCTGGAATCTGAATTAGCCGTGTAGAAGGCTTACAATTAGAATCTTAGCAAATAAATATTGCAGTAGAATCATTTTTTTTTTCAATCTCAAAACATTCTTTTCCGGAACCCCTTATCTTATGAAACAATAACAAACAATGATTATTTATTACAGTATCATTGTTGTTAGCAATATTTAGTTCGACTAATCATTCTAATGAGTGTACGATAACATAGTTGAAAATTGTTTCAATAATTTATAAAGAACAATTATGTAAGATGTATTTTATTGGGAGCGATGTTCATCCCAGAAAAACATACCAAAACAAATGTTTGCTGTTGGATTTCTTAAAAGGCAAATCTATATGACTATTTAATGATTGGGATAGATCTTTTTACAATATTCAAACCTCAAAAATCAAAGGAAGCTATTCCAATGAGATATACATTAGGGTGCTTCATTCTGAAAAAAGTGATGAATTTCTGATGGGCCACCCTCCAGTTCGATTCATAGCCCCAAAATATGAACCTGTGCAAAAATTGGTAAAGATTGATGAAGGTTTAGAGGTCGCGCCAATGATTTGAAATTTGTATGGGAATTACTATGGAAGAATTTAAAAAATCGCTTATATCGCTATAACTTTGCTTCTACTTGTCCAAATGTCGAAAAAATTTAGTATGTTATTGCTATGGCAATAAACAAAAAGCCTACAGTTGCTACGCTCAGTTTTGCAGCGTATCAAGAATTATAAAAATGTGAAAAATGGCAAAATAGGGTAAATTGACAGATGAATATGTACAAGGCAACAACGCCAATTTCATCGCAACAACAACAGGCTTGTTGATCATTGTCATGACAACCACATATTTTTTTTTTTCAACGTTTGGACAACTACAACCAAAGTTAGAGCAATGTAAACGAAAATCAATAATTTCCCATACTAATTCACCAAAATCTCCATACAAAATCCAAATCATTGGCGCGACCTCTAAACCTTCATCAATCTTTACCATTTTTTGCACAGGTTCATATTTTGGGGCGATGAATCGAACTGGAGGGTGGCCTATCAAAAATTCATCACTTTTTTCAAAATGAAACACCCTAATATACATGTTTTCCTATACTGCAAAGTTAAATGACAGTCCAATAGTTTCTACATGTCTGTTTACACGCGACATATCAACAAACGTCAAAAATCGTTAAAAGCAACTCCAATAAAATATACATGATTATCTTATATAATATATCTTTTAGTGAGCAATATTCATCATGAAAATAGGTACATTTTACTCGATTTGCTCATAGTGCAAACTTATATGATTTTCCATTAGTTTCTAGATGCCTGTTCCCACCCATGACATATCAACAGTTTTTCACCATGAAATATATCAGACCATATTCATATACATCTTACCTATCGCTAACCACGTTCGAAGCAAAGTATTATCAAGTACTAAGTATGTGAAATTACGATAGAAATCATTCCATATCGCAGTCATAGTTTTTAAGTGATAATCCATTGGAATCTATCAATCATCACATAGAATGAATAAATCTCCTGACATTGCTATGTTATAAGATGGATCCAATAAACGGTACATGTCGATTTGTTTCAGTGTGGATGGCTTCCTGTACTACACTGAGATAATTATCCCTACAAATTTCATAAACTACATCGTATGAATGCATGCAAATACAAGCCTGAATCAATTTCATAATTATCTTATGTTTTCATACTGCATCTATAGTATTCATAATTTGATACAACAAAAGGTATACGAAAAACATAAAAATTTCATAAACACGTCGTATGAATTATTTTGGTTCAGCTTATGGCAAAAAATCATACGATGATCGTATGTAATTTATTTAGACAGTGCAAATCAAAACAACAACAAAACACAAGATGGCGGATCCAGCTTCAAGACGTGACGCAAGGCTCCGTAAACCTGTAAGTAAATCAGAGGGTGCGACACATCTAAATCTCAATTTTAGATGGTCGGAATATCTCATGTTAGCAAATCAATCTACGAAAAATCTTTTTTCATCTCTTGCATCTATATCCATCTACTTGCATCGCCCTCCATCTTTTTGCAGGAAATCTTCAAAATCTTCATCAATCTTCTTTTTATCTACTAAGTGTGCACGCATCTCACTACAGCAAAGTGAAATTTTTCCTGCATCGTAGATAGAGTCGCCCCCCTCGAAGTAAATTTAATTCGTATTGTTTCATTGTAGTTTACAACTTTATTTACATTTGTAGACAGTTAAGCATGCTGCTGCTGCTGCTGCAGCTGCTTCTGCTTTATCGATTTCAACAGCACGTCGGAAGAGATAACCGGATCGGGTAAGTGTCAGATTAATTTTTTGTTTTTGTTTTGATAATTTAATACAACAGTAACATTTTTTGAACAGGAATCGGACACGAGTACAATTACTGCGAGCCATCACAGTGAACGTTTCCGGGGGCCTCAACAGACAGAGTAGCTGCAGCGACTGATCGAGTAACATCCCCGAATGCGACGAAGATTAATGCAACGACAAATTTGAAGGGTTTCGAGGAACTTCCCCCAGTTTCCGCAGTTGTACCTGCCAATCTAAAACCCACACTGATTGCATCAGAACCAATATAATAAATATAATAAATAATTGCTTGGTTTAACCACAGACAAACAGACATATAACTCGCAAGTTGTTCATCGGACAAGCATTTAACGGTCAATTTAAAAGTATCGTAGTTGGTAGCACCGCGACCTGTGGCGTGCATAGTCATTTCCCTTGAGTTTGACGTTGACTACCGCCATCTATTCAGCGTACTACCCATCACAGTGTGCTTAACAGATGGCGGTAGTGTTTTAGTGACGACGTTTTACAGTGAGAAATATTCAATGTGTTATGTCTGTTTGTCTGTGGTTTAACGGCTTTCTCAGTCTTAATCTCACTCTAAAGACTACGATTTAATCTACCCGACGCTTCGGTCATAGGTTTTAGTTCATGGTCCATGGCCGAAACGTCGGGCAGATTAAATCGTTGCCGTTAGAGTGAGATTAAGACTTAGAAAGCCGTTAAACTAAGCAAGTCACTCAAGTACTAGTCATCACCATCACTAATATAATAATTAATCAACTCAAACTATATTTTTCATTCATATCCTTTATGAGTTTCATACGAAATGACAAATGAAATTGTTCGTAATATCCAATGATAGCTATCGTTCGTTTATATTGAGATTCATAGTTATATGTATGAAAAATCATACGATGGCTGATTAACAAAAAACTGACAGTTCTTCCTAGTTCGGTCGTATGAAATTCAACATAAAATCTTGTCGCAAAAAATCATACGATATTTCTATGAAATTCGTTTGTTTAATAATCTCAGTGTAGAAATAAGTACATGCTGGATGGCATGGTACTGGATAACTTGATTGGCATAAAGTGATGATGATTTCAAAATTTTGCACCGTGAATGCAATGCGAAAGAAATATTTAATAAAACCTGGTTGATACTACGTTAGTACAAAACTTAAGATCTATACAATAGATGTAAAATGTACAAAAAAAATCTCTTTTCAAATGTTTAGTCGTATACCGTGTGGTGCCCGTTCACCGCTCACTTTACAGTAAAATCAAATTCACATCGTTAGTAAAATTACTTTCATAAATATATTGAGTATGTTTTCACACTAGCTTGCAGGTCATTAACATAAGATTGTGGATAAAATACAAAACATCCAAAACAATACTGTTTAAATTGATTTCGAGACATATTAATGCATGTAAAAAGGAGTCCCAATCACCACTCATGTTGCAGTTGGAAATATTTACTTTATGAATCGCCAATCTTTTCTGGCCATAACGCATTATATGGTTATTGAGGTATTAGGTAGGTATAAAGCATTCGGCTTTGTTATAAAATAGTCGTAGTAGTGTCTATTTTAAGCATATTTTTGGAGTGATCGGTGAAGGAACCCTTGATCGTAGTTGGGTCTCCATGCACCGCTCATATGAATGTAATCAAAAGTATTTTTCGATAGTAAACAGTGAAATATAAGTACCGATGTTTAAATATGATCGGCACGAGTGAATTAGTCCGTTAAACGAATGCTTATAACTCATTTTGGGAACTTTTACAACAAATTTTTACAAAATGAGCGTTGAATGGAGGTCAAGCGATGAACGGGCACCACACGATACATAGATTAGACATATTTTGAAGAAAAAAAAAACAGCTCCATTAGTAAAATAAAACCATTTTAAGATTCCACTCGCATACCTGCCGTGAAATTTGAATTTTGTAATCACCATCACTTTCATAGTTCTTCTACTGTCCGCGGGAGCCAACTTTTTTTTGCTTATATCGTTATTTTAAATTAAATCAACACCCTTGCATGCATCGGCAAATTGAATTTCAATTCAATCATAACTATCCGGATTATCTCTTTGCTATTATCCCCAAACAAAGTTTGATTCTGATGATACTAAATTAAGCAAGTACAAAGTCCCACTTTTTCCACACTCAAACAAATCTCCCAAAATTCGTTCAGTTATACTCACGCCTATCACACACACCCACAAGAAGCAAACGTACCATCTTAAAATCAAACCCGCACGTCTGGACCGCCGGCTGCTTCGTTCACCGGTAGATTAGAAACTGACATAATTTAATCGAAAAAAAGCTGTCCAAACCTAAGTCAACGCATACCTACTTCTACCTATACCAAAACAGTGGCGTGGCGATCAAAGCAACGCAGAAATATGTGAGCAAAGGAGGACAAACATACTAGGGTAGAGCATTACTTCGATCAGAAACACCAACTATATCAATGATTTCGACATGAACGAATCAATCATCCGTTTGGTACGATAGTTTGGCTCAATAGCTACCAAACAAAGTCAGTATGAATATTTACATCCGTATGCCGAAGCGAATCCACTGACGTTTTAATGTGTTTTGACGGAATGGAAACTCGTATGACGGAATGAGAATCAAGAATCTGATTTTTAACAATATTTCAATTTGTGGCTCTTTATCAAATCTAACGGTACGCACGGAAGGAAGATACATTTAGAAGCCATCTTTGATAGAAACATTCCAATGTTTGTTCAATCGCTTAGAGCTTAGTAGACAGAAATTAGATCTTAACCCTACGTAACATCAAAACAACAATTTGCCACCGTCTAGATTGGGGTCAAGCGTCTTCTTCTTAAAACTGAAACATATTCAGACCAATTGGGTACCGCTGTGAACCGAAACCTGGACGGCATCAATGTTTGCGTTTTCCTCTTCCCGGTTTTTAGGTTTTTACGCTTTTACATGAACATTCGTCTGCTCGTAACTCTGCTCAACTTTTGAAACACTTCCACAGATGACATTAATTGAGAATGTGTTACCTAGTATCTATCTTTCCAAAAGATGCTTCATAAAATTTAATTTCATACACTCAAAATTCAACATGATGCAACTGTATTTAATTACACTACAACATATTTGAACTTTGTATACTGATGGTCATTTTCCATGTAAAATCATGCGCTGAATTTAAAAATGTAGTCAGAAAAAATCCACAGTAGGATAGTTTTCTAAAGGGTGTCCACAGTTAAATTGCATCAATTAGAAATACTCCCCAAAAATAAGTCTCTCAACCGATTGCCATGAAATTTTCAAGGAATGTAATATTATATACATATAAGCTTGATTTACGTATCTTCATTTCACTCTACTTCATCACCAAATCCAAATGCCCGAACTTTCATTTTAATTCCACCCATAAAGTTTTGAACAACAGTTGAATCGACATTTTTTTTTTCTGCTTTCAACCATGATTTCAACATTTCCTGCTCCGTAGTGACAACTTTTGGATACTTACGGAGTTCGTGCTTCATTATAGCCCAGTATCTTTCGATCGGCCGCAACTCCGTTGTGTTTGGGGGATTGAGATCCTTCGGCACGAAATTGACCCCATTCGTCTTGTACCACTCCAGACCGAGGGGGACGACTCTATCTACGATGCAGAAAAAAAATGTTTTATGCTGTGGCTAGCTGCGCGCATGCTGAGTAGATAGAAAGAAGATTGATGATGATTCTGAAGATTTCCTGCAACAAAATGATGCGCGATGCAAGTAGATGCGACAAATGAAAGAAGATTTTTTGAAGATTGATTTGCTAGTGTGAGATTTGTTGAGCATTTAAACTTGAGATTTAGATGTGTTGCCCCCTCGCCCCAGACCGTCCTTGGAGTAGTGACGAGGCATTCATGTAGACTTGGCCATTTACGTTTGTAGTTGTAACGAAAGGCTTGCTCCGTTTTCCACACGAACAAATAGCCTGCCAAATCATGAATTTCTTGGAGAACTTGGACACTATTTCCTGAGGGACTCTGAAACATCGAACTTGTCTTTCGCAGACACATACTGGTTTTCCGGAATTTGTATAAAGTCCGGTTTTACGTATGTTTCATCGTCCATGATACAGCAGTGTGGTTTTGTCAACATTTGTGTATACAGCTTACGTTCCCGCGTTCTAGCTGTCCTACTCTGTCGTTAATTGCGGTTTGGTGCTTTCTGAACCTTGAATGAACGTAGCCCTGCTCGTTTCTTGGCTCTCTGCACGAAACTTCTTGTCAGGTGTAGTTTTTTCGAGACATCCCGAACGGAATAGTTGGGTTTGCGTTTCTTCAATGCAGCATGGAACACTTTTTCTTGCACTCACTTGCCACCGATTGACAGTTAAACCGCAAATCGATTAACGTACCCCATTCTACTCAGAATTCTAGTGCTACGCTATGTTTGTTTTGATTCGCTATGAAAGTTTGACAGATAAAATAAGGGTTTGTGGATTTTCCTATGTTTCGAGGGGTGAATCGATTAGCTTGGGACCGAAGTTAGTACCAGAGCTGAGCCAAAAAGTTGAGCACGTTTCTTGGGGACCTTCTAGTCTTAGAGTTACCTCTATGGTTAAACGTTCTCCAAAACGTTTTATGACACGGCTCTATTTTAAAAACTACTAGAAATTTAACAATGAAACTCACGCAGTGTAAACAATACACGCTGAGGTTATCTTACCCAAAATTTCATTAAAATTAACCCAACGGGCAAAATGTTACAGCTTTTTCAAAGTGATGCAATTTAGATACAGCTTAAAAATAAAATTTCACCTAAAAAAGGTTTTTCTTTTACTAAAATACAAATATCTCCGGCTATAATGTCAGTGTCATTAGTGTTAATTGTTTTTCTCTTTGTTATTTTCTTTTTAATTTTTGTGTTTCACCTTGCTAAACATCATTTTTTTTTTTTTTCTTTGGCGTTAAAATAATTCATAAACGTTCATTGCAGCCGGAGATATTTGTATTTTACTAAAATCAACTTCTTTTTTGAGGGGAATTTCATTTTTTAGCTATATCTTGAAAAATATCCTACATTTTTGGATTCAGCGCACGATTTTACATAAGAATCAAAGGACAATACTTTTACTAATTTTATTTCTAAACTAGTTTATTTAACAAAGTAGCAACATGTCAAAGTTAACCATTTTCTATGGAAATCCTCTTCCACAGCTTTATGAAGCATTATTGTATATTCACTGGCTTGTCAGATAGCTCCCCTTATTCTGCGAGTCACGTGACTTTCTGTCACCGGTGAGATGACAATTGTCACCTCGTGTGAGGTGACTCTCCATGTAAATCAAATGGAGAGTCACCTCACCGGTGAGAGAGAGTCACGTGACTCGCAGAGCATGTCACAGTTTACAGCAAGGTTGGGTCATTTTGCGTTTTCGACCATAGTGTATTGCTAGATCAATGTATTTGCTTATGTGGTGCTTGCTTTAGGCTCTAAACCATTTGGCGGATTTTTTTTTAACTTTTGATTAAAATTTGACCAGGAGGCTGGCAACCCCATATCAATCATATACGTTTGACAGCCTCATTTAAAACGCTGTCCAGACTGGAGAGTTATAACATGTTATAACGGTTGTCAACTAATTGCAACACAGAAACCACCATCAAGATAGCGCTATAACATGTTATAACTCTGTAGTCTGAACGTACTATAAGGCTCTGAACCATTTGGTGGATTATTTTAACTTTTGGTTAAAATTTGACAGATGGAAAGTTATCGATTAACCCTGCTATCCAACCGTGGTTATTTCTGACAGACAAGAAGTTAAATGTTGACAACCGTGGCTGAGTTCTTCTCGAAAACCGGTCGATCAACAGCACAGGAATTTTCGAACATCAAGAATAACTTTCGAAATGTCACTTTTAACCACAAGTTAAATTTAACTCGGCAAATGGTTCACAGCCTACATACGGCCCGCCTGACCTATACATGGTGAAAAGGGACGGAAAATCGTGTTATAAGCAGAAAGACAAGAGCAGATGTCAGCATCAAAAACATGGCTGCCAGTCAGCCCCTTGAATTTGACAGATGGAAAGTTATCGATTAACCCTGCAATCCGAGCGTGGTTATTTCTGACATACAAGAAGTTAAGTTTTAACAACCGTGGCTGAGTTCTGCTCGAAAACCGATCGATCGGTATCACAGAGATTTTCGAATATGGAAAATAACTTTAAGAATGTCAGTTTTAACCACGAGTTAAATTTATCTTGGCAAATAGTTCACAACGGCGCCAGTGGTGTAGTGGTAAGCGTGATTACCTCTCACCCCAGCAGGCCTGGGTTCAATCCCAGTCGGCGCCGCCGGGATGTTCTGAGGCATAACATCTCTGATCACGCCTTCCTTCGGATGGGAAGTAAAGCCGTTGGTCCCCGGTTCATGAGTTGATGGGTCGATAGCTAGGGTCCAGGTGTGGGAGCTGCCTTCCTGGCACGTCGGTAGCATTGGTGCTCAGCACGGAAAACAAGATCGACGGAAAAAAACAAACCAAAGGGAAAAAAAAATATTGTAGAATTCATATCTACAGGGTGCGTGACGAATTTTTGCAGTAAATGGCATATTTGAGAAAAAATACACCAGTTAGTTATTCTAGCAATGAATTTTGTGCGATTTATTTTCTTTCGCAACATATGGAAGTTGTAAGTAAATTTATTCAAAAAAATTGCCTTCCCTTTCGACGACTGTAGTTAGACGCTTCCGGAAACTGCAGTATGCACGTTTTAAAATGTTTCGATCCATAGATGTCATCACTGCCTTGATTTTAGCTTTTAGCGACTTAAGTGTGGTGTGAGGGGTTTTATTGGTATCCCGTTGGACGACGCCCTATACAAAATAATCCAACGGATTGATATCGGGACTGCTTGGGGGCCAAATTTCTTCCTCCCAAATTTACGAAATATTTTCCGTAAGCCATTTCTGTGCTTTATTAGCAGTATGAGCAGGTGCTCCGTCTTATCACTTTCCCAAGCCTTTTTTAATATTATACACTGTTCTTTTAGACACATTTACCGACCGAATTATTTCGGTAAAAAACGGCTGACAGATTGCTCTCTTGTTTCGACATCTTTACGTTTACTCAACATTGTTTGTTTAAATCTTACACCTAACAGTATAAGCTATCCAGTGCTGCCAAATATATCTAAATCATGATGCACAAGCATGAGAAATTACTATTTGAAATTTACTGCAAAAATTCGTCACGCACCCTGTAGAGAGTACCAGTTTAGAAAATAAGGTCACTTTCAAGTTAACAGCTAGCTGAAATTGTGTGATTGTTTGAAAGTTGATGTTCTGCTCATTCACAATAAATTGAATTAATGTCATAAATTTGCAAAAAATAAACTTCTTCAGCATCATCATGTGATGCCATCCGTATTAATTAGTTTGACTCTAGTGACTATCTTAAACATATAGTATTAAAGAGAAGAAGAAAAAACACTCATTTATTCAGTTTTACGCTTCTTACTACTTCTACGCAACAGAGCGATAACCAATCTCCTGACAATCCAGCCAACCAGAACTAAAACTCCCACTGCCAGCGCCATCACATCCAAGAGAGCGAAACTGATCCACGGCAGATCCAAGCCTGCAGATCGTAGCTGCGGCGCCCCCTTATGCCGAATCACGTACTCCACCCAGTACACCGCTTCGTCCAGAGCAGGAACCGGGCGATCCCTAAACACCTCCGATACCCTATCCATGTTCTTCTTGTACTCCGGCTTGTGCAGTAACTCCTCCAGTGCCCATCGGAACGAAGTCTCGGTGACATTCGGGAAGAACAACTTGACCGCATAACCGCCCAGTACGGCCTTGTTCATGTTCAGATGCTGATCAGCGTAGATCGGAATACCCAGCATGGGGACTGCCCGGTGAACACCCTCCTGGGTACCCAACAGACCTCCGTGAGTTATGAAAACCTTCACATTCGGATGAGCTAGGATGTCATTCTGTGGCATCCAAGATTTGATCAGCACATTGCTGGGAAGGTCCTTGACAGACTCGTCTTCGAACTTCCACACAATTCGCTGCTTCATCGATCGGAACACGTTCAGGATGGCATTCAGCTTATCCCTTGGCATATCGGAACTCTTCAAGTTCGTTCCCAAACTGAAATAGATTGCTCCTTCCTTGGCTCCATCCAAGAATTTCTGCAAATCCGCCGGCAAAAGCTTGGGTTCCTTAATGTGCAGTCCACCAACCTGAATCATTCCGGGAACCCGGGCACGTGCCGTCGTCAGAGGATAATAACTGTTCAATAGAACAACTGAAACCTGTCGTTCAAGATCGGTAACCTTCGGAAGTGGTCCCTTCAAATGTCCAAAGTTCTGCTGCGCCATTGCTTCCTGCTTCGGAAGGTAATAGAAAGCTCTCAACGTTTGCTCGTACATCGACACGGCAGTATTGTAGATCCTCTGCGGGAAGGTCATCTTGTCCATGAGCGGCAAAAACTCGTGTGGAACGTGCGAGTACATGTTCATCATTCCCATCATTGGTCCCATGTAGTGAGCGAACCCGAAGGTTCCTAGAATTACACAAGAATATGAGTTTCCAAAATTCCTGGTTCAAGCGCTCAACTCACCAACAGTCACAATCGGAGCCTTATACTTGTGAGCAAACATCAAATACGCCTCCTGGTAGAACTGTTCGGCCAAAATCAAATCAAAGTGGCTCTCATCCGTCCGAATGAACTCCTGCACGTTCTCCCTCGTGAAACCGTACTGTGCCGTCTCCAGTCCCAAACTGAACAGGAAGTCCATCAACATCCGATGAATGGATATGTCCGTCAAATCGTACAACGACTCAACTTTGACGGAGTTTTTCCAAAAATCATAAATCGGTGCCACCCGAAGATCGGTGTAATTTTCGTGCTGCCGAGAGAGTGGATAGTTGGCAATGGCAGTGATATGATGGCCCCGGTCCAGCAATCCATTCAGTATGGCATCGATCATCATCCAGTGGCTGCGGCCAGGGAATACGAACACCGCAAGGATGCGGGACGAATGCGAGTGGTGCCATGATAGGGCACACAGAAGCAGGAGGGGGAAGAGTTTTGGGATCTGAAAGAAACATTGACGTTGTAAGATTGAGAATAAAACCACAGAGAAACAGAGTTAACTCTCGCATGTTGTTCATCAAACACGCATTTAATGGTCAATTTAAATTGATATTATTTGGTAGTAACACCGAATGTGACACACATAGTCAATTTTCTTGCGTTTGATGTTTACACACTAGCGCCATCTGTTGAGCGCATTGACCATGACAGTGTACTCAACAGATGGTGGTAGTGTTTTAGCGACGATATTTTACTGTGAAAAATATTCAATGTGTTATGTCTGTTTGTCTGTGCTAAAACCGTCCATCCACATAGTTGTTTTGTGATATGTCCGTGTCCTTTGTTTAGTGCATGTCTTAGTATTAGAGATGGGCGATCCGCTCCCGAGCTGTTTTAAAGACCCGATTGACTCAAGTGAGCTTATGACCCGCGGTTCATTTTTTTAGAAATCGTAGCTCATCAGCTCACTTATATCACAAGTCTAAACCATTCAATCCGTCACTTATAGCGGAACTTTTCAAAAAAGGACTCATTAACTTTGCATTGAACAGCCACCGCGTAAACCAAGATGATCGCTACGGACCAGGGTTGCTTCCACTCACTTGCTATAAAAAATATTATTCGGAATTATGCAATCATTAGATGCAATAATGCTATGTTGTACTTATAAGTAACAAGAAGAGGTAGTAAAGTATGTGTTTGACTCATAAAACCTGTTAATTTCACTTTGAGAGCGTCACAATTAGCGATCTTATGATTCGTGAGCGTTCACTCAGAGTGAGCGCTCACGAGTCGTAAAATCGCTGATTGTGACGCACTGAAAGCAATATTGACAGATTTTATGTGTCAAATACACTTTTCATGACCTCTGCTTGTAACTTACAAGTACTAAGAAGCATTACACTATACCATGATCTCATATTTTCGAAAAACATATTTTTATAGCAAGTGAGTGGAAGTTACCCTGCTACGGACCTTATTATTTATAGTGACTATCTCAAACAATTAGTATTAAATAGAAGAAAAAACACTCATTTATTCAGTTTTACGCTTCTTACCACCAGGGTTGCTTCCACTCACTTGCTATCAAAAACATGATTTTCGAAATTTTTAAATCATTAGATGTTGTAATGATATTTTGTGCATTTCAGATACAAGAACAGGTTGAGAGGCAAGTATTTGACACATTTGACCTGTCAATTTTGCTGTCAGAGCGTCACAATCAGCGATTTTATGATTCGTGAGCGTTAACTCAGAGTAAGCGCTCACGAGTCGTAAAATCGCTGATTGTGACTATCTGACAGCAAATTTGACAGAATTCATGTGTCAAACACTTGCCTTTCAACCTCTTCTTGTATCTAACCAGTACAAAATATAATTATAACATCTAATGATTCCAAAATTCCGAAAACCATTTTTTTATAGCAAATGAGTGGAAGCAACCCTGCTTACCACTTCTACACAACAGAGCGATTACCAATTTCCTGACAATCCAGCCAACCAGAACTATAACTCCCACTACCAGCGCCATCACATGGAAGAAGTGTTAGTTTGTTTACTAAAATGAACTAAGACGATTGTATATGACAAGATTTTGCTATAATCAATCCTCCTCGTGTTTATTCACGAAATTCACATCAAAGATATATCAATTTGGCAAGGCATTTGTGGCCAGCATACACCTTCCGGTCGTATGAAACAGGTCCAAATCTGCCCAAATTCGCCCGTTTTTTATGCTCTGTTTATGGCAAAATAGTGAACTATTCATGAGCACTCTCCATATGTCGATGAAAAAATTTAGTTCTCTTATTTTCCCAGTGTTTCAAGTAAGCCATCGAAATTTACTTTGGATACGGGATAAACAAATAAACTTTTTGAACCCCAAGTGCTTCTAAAATCGAATCTTGTAGGCCAATAAATTATTGCTCTGATTGTCGATCACTCCCTATCTCGACGGTCCCTTCAATATCGAGACATGGAAAGTAGTCGCAATGAAGATGATCATTTGAAAAGTATCCCTCTTGAAAAATTGTTCGATAGGACTTTTTTAAATGATAAGAGAACTTTTTAAAAAGATCAGACAGCTAAAAAAGTTCGTATCGCTTTGTAGAACATACTCGTTCATACGACTGGTCAGATTGTGTGTGGGCCGCCTTACAAACACCTTCACACACTGCACCTGCGTTGCCTTTTCATGCTCAGCTTCCGAGAGCGGTATCAATTGAAACCTAGTTGTCCTTGTTCTCTCCGTGCAAGCATATTTGCCATCACCTCATTGAGTAACAAAATCAACCGCAATTTCACAAACACTATTTAAAAAATGATTCACTACACTTCGAAATCTTTCCGCAACAGCAACTGGTTCATTCAACAATTTCCACATTTGTTCTCATGGCGTCTCACATATCATCAAGAGTGTCTTTTGAGTGTCTTTCATCGAAGCTCAATAACATAGTACCAGATGTTTACATATCAGTACAGTGTTCGACCAGACTTCTCAAACTATAATCGCACATGACACGGAATCTAACCTACCATTAGATAAGTACCCACACGAACACGTCAAGTGTTCCGTTCGCTGTTAGATTAGTAACTGACATGATCAAGTCAAAACTATCATGCACATACCCTGCCATCCTAACATAGGAACCTCAGTCAGCAAACTGTACACTGTAGTAAATAGTATAGGTAGGGTAGGAGTGTATAAAACGCCCCACCGAGGCATTTTTACCAATCCATGATTAATCCAGATTTTTACGCTCGCCATAACTCCGCCCAGGGGTGATTCATCTATGTCAGCAGTTGAAAAAGGCGGATCAAACATTTGTAAAGCAACACTTTACAGTCATTTTTTTCAGAATCTGAGAAATTAGGATGCCTACTTCTGAATAAAGATAAAAGTGAAATTATGCGCGAAATCAATTCAACCAAAATTGAAATCAGATTTGTTTTGCTTACGCTGTCAAAGTGCAGAAAATTTTCTTCAATCATGGCCATCTTGGTCCTTACCCCAAAGGTAATCGTCGTATGTCAGAGAGGGGTGATTCAACTTTTATTGCGATCGAGCGTAAAAAGCTGAATGCAACACTGATGGGCTATCCAATCATTCAATGGAACCACTCTACTATGCAAGTTTGGCAGTTGTCAAGTGCCGCAAATCAATAATAAAAACAAAATCATGAAAAGCATCCATTTGATGAAATATTTTAAGTCATTTCGGGAAGCATATTTAAAAATATATTTATTCAATCTTTGTACAGTATGAGACCTCTAATATTGACGCTCTGGGGCATGTCACACCTTTGTTGAGAGGTATACTATGATTTAAGTATAGAGTATACTGCCCCTTTGTTGTGGGGGCTTATTATATATGTATGCGTTTTGCTCCGCAAAGTTGAAAATCCTAGGATGTAGAAGATGTCACTGAAAAAAAAAATTATTACAGCATATTTATAATTTCCAAACAAGGTTGCAAAGACTCATTTCAGCTAAAACAATGTTTTTCTAAATTATGAAATAATTAGATGCCATGATCAAATTTTGAATTGGTAGGATACAATAAGAGGTTGCAAAGAATGTGTTTGACATATTAAACCTGTTAATTTCACTTCATGAGAGTCACAATCAGCGATTTTTCACAAACTCACTCACTCACTCACTCACTCACTCAGCGATCAGCAAATCGCTGATTGTGACTCATAGAAAGCAAAATTTACAGGTTTTATGTTTCCAACGCATACTTTGTAACCTCTTCTTTTAAGTTACAAGTAAAACATGCCATCATACCATCTTTTGGTTTTATTATTCTGAAAAACATTATTTTAGCTGAAATGAGTCTTTGCAACCTTGTTTCCAAAGCAACAGATACAGAGATGTTTACGTCCGGTTGTATTGGTGCGATATGTGAGAGCATGTTAGTGAAAATCAGAGGAAAATACTTAACAAATTGCTGTCAAACTCATTTTAAGAGATCTATATAATTTCATACATTTTTCAGGTTAGTCAGAGGAAAACAATAAACAACTTTACACGGCGATGCATCCGCTAGTGTGCGTGCGTTAAACGAAACTAATCTCTATACGTGATTGTTCCGTTAATTAAAGCGAAAACTTTCAAAATATAGCCACATTTCATTCAGGGGGCGTATTGTACCTGATTACCATACAACGATAGCAAAACTAATGACAACAGCAAAACGTGCAACTAATGTTGTATCAGTCTCAGTGATGTGCCACCATAAGTGATTGTACTTACTTACCGTGAGCCCTAGAAGCAAACCTTTACAGGTGAACATTTGACTGAACTGATGCTACTAAGTATAAATGTGATAAATGGTGTCAACAAATGTGTGCTTAACGAGCGATCTTTTGAAGAATCTTACAAATCGACTCTATACTCTTCAATGCAGTGTAGAGGCTTTCCACAACAATACTGGAGGCTTGATAGCCATCATAATGAAGTAATGAAATTGGTTTGTTAGCGGAATGCTTCTGGGGATTTTTCCTTATTAGAGATTTGTACCGATTTTTCTCCTTTAGTTTACTTAAATCTTTGGTTTTTTAGTTAGGTAGGTTCCTATTCCACACATTGTAGTTTCAATTTTATACCTGTGATCTTGACCATTTTACCTAGGGGATGAGTACTTAAGGGGGTTAGGTTTCGATAAGTTCTTTAGTGGGAATGACACTGATGAAGACGTATCTGTCAAGGATACCAAAATTAATTAAGTGGAATTAAATGGAATATTACCTTTTTTGATGTTTCATTTTATTTTTATATCTGATACGTACTTCTCTGAACTATGATGAAGTTCACGTAACAGCCAAAAAATCTAAGTGCTAAGGATTCCCTTACAGATTCGCCTAGCTCACTGGAAGTTCTTATCACTTCTTTAAAGCTACAGATTTTTCCTGAAGTTAATGGTAAGCGTGATTAACTCTCACTACAGCAGGTCTGGGTTTAATCTCAGTCGGCGCCACCGGGATGTTCTGAGGCATAACATCTCTGATCACGCCTTCCTTCGGATCGACGATTTGGGTCGATAGGCAGGGTTCAGGTGTGGAAGCTGCCTCTCTGGCGTCGGTAGCATTGGTGCTCAGCACGGAAAACAAGATCGACGGAAAACAAATCAAATGAAAAAAAAATCATTTTTGTATTTGCGGATCTTAAAACTACACACTTAATCTAGCTCGGTAAAATCTCCAACAGCCGATTACTTCGGCATTTACTTTTGCTGATATATCTGCAAAATATCTGTTTGTTAGCTGATATCTCAGTAAAATGATATTTGTTAGCTGAGTCTCGGTAATTGTTTTACTGAATTTCAGCAAAATAAATTGCAGAACTACTCGGCTGTTTTAAGTGTGTAGATGTCGCATAACCAGTTTTAGCTTTGCTTTGATTCGCCAATGGCAACGCTACATAAACACACACGGGCAACTCTCCACTTACTTTTGGACCAGCTCTTCACAAGGTAAGTAACACACTTCCCTTCCGAAGAAAGGCGTGATCAGAGATATTATGCCTCAGAACATCCCAGCGGCACCGACTCGGATTCAACTCAGGCCTGCTTGGGTGAGAAGCAATCACGATTACCACTAGACCACCGGCACTGCTGATGTAATTTTTAACCATTTGTTGTGAAAAAATGCTATACAAAAGTGTACCAATAAAAAGTTCAAAAATTTGAACAAAAGTTATTGTTCTACGGTTTATGACACTTTACCATAGTTTTTAAAATTCCAAAGATATGCATTTTTCATGAACTTTTTTATACATATGACGGATTTCACGCCAACTCATCCAGTGGTTGGCAGCACCATCTCAGAACCTTATGGAACTTTGTGGGTGTGGAGACTTAGCAATTTTAAGCAACTTTGCGTACTTATTTTTTTCAAAATTTATCTCGCCTAACATTTGATAAGGGTCAAAGTTTTTTGTCGATTTTTTTTTCAAATCGATATAGCTTAAAAATGACAAGCCCTACAAAAAAGTGATGTATGGCGAACTTTTAGCAAATAATCTGAAATTTTATAAAAAAATTTAAATAAAATAAAAAATCGGTTTCTACACTCTAAAAAAATATATTTAAAAATTAAAAGTCATTTTCCCAAAAATGGTACCCCTCAGATTTGCTTGATATTTTTTCTCATGAAAGGCAATATAATTACCTAACTTTTCTTTATACATCGCAAAGTGGGCGCTTTTAAGGAAAAAAAGTTGTTCGAACAACAACTTTTTCATGTTAATTTTTTTTTAGCGTGTTTCACTCAAAGTCGAATAGTAATACGCGCACAACCTTATTAAAATTCGATTAAACTTTATGGGTATACTTTTCGATAATCTGGGCGAAATCTAGCCTAACATTTGAAAAGGGTACAGAGAAGTTACCTGCAAATCGTCCAATAAGAGTTCAGAACAAAACGTTCTAATGAGGAACAGCCATCTCAGCATGGTTTGTTCTTTCCTGTGATGGATTGTATTATAATATATGCATACACTCTATCCAACTTCTATAAAACCACCCTCAAATTGTTCCAAATCAACAGGTAAACTAAGGTAAAATCACTTAGTATGTTTTATTCATGAAAAGATTTCAATTCATGTATTTGTGATTAATTTAATTAGAAAAATAATCATTCATTTATTTTTATGTATTAGGTGTGTCCATTAGTAAGCAATATGCATATATATTTATACCTCATCTCTCAAGTGAATACATATAATAGCGCAGGTAACTTAACGATTATTTAAGGCATGCCTAAAATAATCGTTAAGTTACCTGCTATATAGCAGTTATATAACAACGCAGGTAGTCACATGAGAGATATAAGGTATAAACTTAAAGCACCGCAGTCTGTTTCTACCGACAAAATCTAATATTTAAGTTTGGTGATATCACAACAATGCTCATAGTTGCTGTAGTGCATAGTTGTTGAAAGTGTAGTGCTGCATAGTTGTTGAAACGAAAAAGTGTTTATATATACAACAATGGAAAAATCTGCTGAATTGATTATTAAAAGGGTGCAATGTAGTGCCAACATAAACAATCCCAATTGCAGCCGCAATAATTTACGTAATTTATCATCAAGTCTCATAGAGAAAATACATTCATGGGGCTTTGATCATCAATTGGATGTAACAATGCGTATTTGTGAATCGTGTCGTGGAATTTTAGTGCACAATAGGACACCTCTCCCGAAAAAGAGGCGATCGGATGGAAAAGAATCAATGGTAGGCCAACCTCGGTGAACAATCTATCAAATTTTCACGACTGTACGATATGCGGTTTATGCAGCTCGTGCTCCACAAACATGGGGAAAATTCAGATGCGGCTTCGATGTACCGTAAACGGGGATGTCTTTGATAATGGAGGTAACTTTGATAATGCAGCTAATCCAAAAAGTTATGACTTAATGCTCTTCGTATTCATTATTTTGGAAGGGAACATCGGTTTCCTATCCAAAATATTGCGTACGATGTACCTTAAGTCATAAATTTTTGGCTTAGCTGCATTACCAAAGTTACCCCTATTATCAAAACCACCCCCGTTCATGGTACTATCACCTTAACAGCGTTATATATTAATGTGTGGTAATA